CAGACAGGGTTTTTGTTGTTGGGTTGTGTGTTTTCTTTCTTTCTTTCTTTCTCGAGGTGGATATCCTTTGGCCGCGTTGGGTAGCGAGGATTGGTGTAACCCGAGCCACTCACAGATCACTCACCCACGGCTCGGTTGGGGTCTCTGGGCCCGAGCTTCACCTCCTGGAGGCTCCCCGCCGCGCCGAGGGCGCGGGCGATGGAGATGACGTGGGTGTTGATCGAGGTGTGTCCAGCGCCGACGTGGCCGCCGTATCTGCACCCATCCCAGTGCGTGCCGTTGAAGTGTTCGTAGCGCGTGAGCATGTGCCGCTCCTTGGCGGCGCCGACGGCGCACGGCGGGCACTCGCGCAGCTTCGACGCGTGGTAGATGCACTTCGTCCTCTCGCTCTCGCCGGTGCACCGCGTCGCGAGGGTGATGGCGCCTCTGGGGTGGTTGAGGTAGCCCTGCATCTCGTGAAGGAATGCCTCGTCCGGCAACTCGACGGCGTCCTCGATGGCGTCGATGCCTAGCACCGCGCCCGCCCCGAGCTGCTTCGCCGCGCGGAAGTGCGCACGCGTCGCCGGGTGTACCGACGGGTCGTCGACGATGGCGCTGTACATGTCTTGCTGCAGGGCGTCGCTGGGCCGCGAGCGCCGCTCGTCGTCGCGCCGCTCGAGCGGCCGCCCGCTGCGGCCACGAGGGTTCGCCTCTCTGGGCGTCGGCCAGCCGCCCCGCTGGCTGAGAGGCGACTCAGGGCTTGTCGGCAAGGAGGGAGTGAGGGCGGATATTTTTTCCGATCGGCACGTTGCACACTGGGTTATCTCCGACGATGTCCTTCGCATCGCTCCGTCGGCTGCGCCCAGACGAAGTGCCGGCTGTCCGCCGCGATCCAGTCGAGCCCAAGGCGCGCGCGGCCGCGGAGCCCATTGTGGAGGCGGTCCGCTCCGAGGGTGAACCAGCGCTGCGCCGCTTTGCCGAGCGCTTTGGCGAGCTCAGCCCGGGCGATGCCCTGGTGTACCGGCGCGAGGTCGAGCTCAAGGCGGCGTGGGAGTCCATCTCGCAGGAGGAGCGCAACTGCCTCGCGCGCACCGCCCAGCGGATCCGCCACTTTGCTCGCTCGCAGCGCTCCTCCGCCTCGGAGATCTCCGTGCCAATCCCGGGAGGAGAGGCAGGGCACACGCTGGCGCCGGTGGAGAACGCGGGCTGCTACGCGCCCGGCGGACGGTACCCGCTGCCGTCGACAGTCCTGATGACCGCCGTCACCGCACGGGTCGCCGGCTGCGCGCGCGTCTGCGTCGCCTCTCCGCGGCCGACAGCGGTGACGCTCGCCGCCGCCTACATCGCCGAGGCAGACCAGCTGATCCCGGTGGGAGGGGCGCAGGCGATCGCGGCGCTGGCGTACGGCGCGGGCCCGATCGGCGCGTGCGATGCCGTCGTCGGACCGGGTAACATGTACGTTACCGCCGCAAAGTCGCTCGTGTCTGGCCGCGTCGCGATCGACATGCTCGCGGGTGAGCGCCACCGCAAACACCTCCGCCCTCGCCCTCCTCCGCCCGTCTGCCGTCATCCCCTCGCCGTCCATGGCCTATCCTCGAGAGGACTACGCTCGGCGTTTCCTGCTCCTCCCCATGGCGACGATCTTCCGCATCCAGCTGAGGTTGAGCGCGTAGCCAGCGAGAAGTAGCAGCAACAGTGACCGCACGACGCCGGAGGGCACGCCCTCCCCCACCCGCTCGCGGTGGAACCAGAGGTGCGCCAGGCCCGCACCGTAGCCGATGACGCGCGCTAGGGCAAACAGGAGGGCAAAGGCTGGTTCGACCACGCGCATCGCAGTTGTTTCGGCGCGGCCCGATGCGAGAAGGCCCCACCGGACGTTGAGGAGTATCGTTGAGGCCTCACCGCAGATGAGCCAGGAAAATGGCAGCGGCAAAAAGCGGTAGCTCGCGC